ACCCTCAGGCAACAATATCACACATATTACTGCGCACGCCAGGCAATACCACGTACACTGAGCCTATTGGCTCTCGACATGTTTGAATTATGTTTTCAGCAGCTGTGTTAGCATATGTGTTACTCAATAGTGCCATCATCATCATCATCATCATCAACACTATGATCATCTTCGTTATCGACATCATTGGCCACAGTAACATCAGCAAGTGCAATAAAATCGCTAAATACTAATTTGGTTGATCATCACATTGGTGCACGGCGTTCCTTATTTAACGATTGCGCCTACAGTCACATATTTAATTGTTTTTGTTATTTACACAAAAATATTTCTAAATTAACTGCGCACTACACTTCCTTATTGATAAAAATACATATTTACCTATGCATTTGTATATGTAATAATACTCCGCACTGCTACAAACATGACAAATTGATTTGATTTCGAGCTTAAATTGCATTTCGATTTTTGCAAAGGATCTTGAAAAGATTGAAAAGCTTGTAATTATATCTACACTGACTAATTTTTATGAAAACTAATTTTCCAAAAGAACTTTTAAGCAACTTGCAGTTAATCACTCCTAATAAAGCCAGCGAGTCAATTGCATCATTTATTTACTTAATTAAGGAGGACTAAAGGGCTAAGGATAAATCTACATATAGAAGGTACGGTTAAGGGTAGCTATCTAGTTTCATAAGCTGACAAGGAGACGAATGGAGCTTCTCTGAAATGTCTACGAATAAAAAGCAAGAGCTCCTTCTAAAGTGATTCTACTGAATCAATATCTGGTGGATGCAAAGACAAGAAAGCATCCAAAGGAGACAAACATAATTTCACTTAAAATTTAAAAGAAAAATTTTACTAAAACATAATACACAAAGTTCCCAAGATTATCCAAAAGACGAGTATGCAAAATTACTAAGCAATTAAGAAACACGCCCCTTAAAAATGCTACTAAATTTTATCTACATCGATTTCAAGTGGTGAGTATGAAAAACTCGCCATACCAAGTTGAATACCACTTTCATATTACCATAGGATTTGAAAAAATGTTTAATAAATTTGTTAATATATTTGTATTTAGTGGGGGGACATTTATTGTCCATTATCATGCGGTATTCATTTTATGATTATTATTATGCTTTGTAACCATATTATACATGAAGAAACGTTGAAAAATTACAAAAATCTCCCATAAGTCATAATACTTTCATATTAAAATATTTTTCAAATCTTAAAGAATAATTTAAATATTTTCAAGTTTCGTGTCTCATCATAAAGAATAAGATATGAACGCTCGTTTGTAAACCAGAAGCAGATGTTTTCGAAAGAGTCGATTATTGAAAATGTCATATATAACGAACCATACATAATGGGCAGCTGACCTCACCGAAGAATAGAAGCACGATTCAAATAAACAATAGCACATCTATTGGTACCCATGCTAGCTGAAAGGAATAAGAGATAACAGGGAAGAGGATGGGACGTTCTGGCTTCGAACTGCAAACACTTTCGTGCGACTACTGCTAGATGGCGGCGAATGTTTTCATATTGAAAACCCATCATATCATGACTTTTGGGACGCCACGCCCATTTTTTTCTCATAATTACATCAGTTGATTAGAACCTTATGGTTATTTGCGCTTTGGATGTCATAACGCATTCCCTGTTTATATGGAAATTGGCATAGCAGGGAGACCAAGTCCCCAAACTTTGCGGGAACATTAAATATTTGCGGTGTTAGATACCGCTCACTCCCTTCAAAAAGAAGCACATGCCATACGCACTATTCTGGAACTGACTCCCTTACTCCCTTTGGAGCGATAGTAAAACCTTTTCACTGCGTATGCATGGCACCGTAGTGTTGAATCTTCACATCACCTAGCTATGTGAATCTCTTAACACATTTTTGTATTCAGCTTTTATTTTTGCATCGCCAGCATAACTCCCTCCTTTTTGTTGCTATACGAGTAGTGTTTGGAAAAAATCTTCATCCATAATGTCTCAATATTCGAATTTCTGAGGCAAACGCCTTGAGAACAAATTAATCTGTTTCAAGAATGGTGGTAGTTCAATGATCTCTCATTATCGTAGCATGCAATATACGCACGAAATTTAAAGAAAATAATTATAATTAAAAAGAAAGAAGCGTTTTATGAAAACTCTTTCATATATATATATAACGCGTTATAAAACGATTCTAATTTTATGTTTTAGCAATAAATTAACGTCGTCTTAAAGAAGCGTTTCTCGCTCGTTAGTTTATATTTAAAATGCAACCACATTCTGAATATAGTCACATCAAATGGAATTGTTTATAAAGATCGCTCGCTATATTACGATGACAGAGAACAATTTAACAAATAATTAATGAGATTAACATTTCTAGCATTTATTCTGCGATCTCATATCTCTCCCGCCTTCGGTCTATGGAAAGTAATGAACTGAAAAGAAAATCTCAAATATAATAATACAAATTTATGGGATACACCGCACGGTACAATGATGAAATCTTTAACGACAAATGACGATTTGTGCTCATATGTTAAATATTTGTTTTATTGGAAGTGAAGGTAGACTGAAATTTTTCAGCACAAAGGCATACCTATACTACTTATCAGTCAAAAGAAGAGTAAATGACTCGTCAGTTTTTTTCTAAAAAATATTTGCCTTAACCTTCAGATGGGAAATTGGTCTGGACATGTGATTATTGAAATAATTATAGATTGTTAGTCATCTTGACGTAGAGCTCCTACTCTGTTGTCCCACTGCAAAGACGATCGAGGAAAAAGCTGTCGATAAGAAGAAAAATGTTGCTGGTGGAAATTACTTTAAAAGAGGAAAAGGAGTAAAATAACCAAAAACAAAATTTGATTACAATCACAACCTTAGCAGCATTGCTTAGATAATTCCAAGTCAAGCATTGTTGTGACATTCGACACTACTTACCCTATATATTGCTTGGATGCAGAAACTTTTAAAACGAAAATCATTTTGCAAATTAATTATAAACATTTGGTTTGCTTCTATGCCTGATGACCGACCACACTACAAAAAATAGTTCCAAGTTGAAAAGAAAAGTTGCGTTAGTCGGATTGAGTTTCCCCACTTGTTGTAAGCTGTTCAGTTAACTTGGTTTTTATGATCTTGTGCCAAGAGTATGACATTTCAAGAGCTTGTCACTAATTGTAATTGTATGATGATGATATAAAAACAGATTATAGATTAATAACACAAAACAACAACAATAATAATAATAACAATATGAAACAGCAAGTAGAGTTAAAGTGCTTCCTTCCGTTTTAATCAGATTATAATCTATCAAAGAGCGAAGCTTCAATGCATATTATTTTAGAAGCGTGTAAGGGTGTATTTGTATCGTATTTGTATGTATGCGTATACTTCTTTCTGTGACCCTTAGACAAAGAAGCGTCACTTCAATTCCCAAAACAATTTGTTAAACAACACAACACGCCAAGTCAAAAAAAAAAAAAACAGACTGCACTTGATGCCGTTGTTTCGATGGCAAAGAGAAGAGCATATCGAATTTCCTTAACTTACACGTACATACGCACACACACACAGACGCGTAAGTGGAAAAACTCCCTGTTTGCTGCATAATTGAAGTGTCAAACAGCGAAATTACTGAAAACCGTTTCCGAACACTTTAGTGTTCCATGACTGCTACGGTAGACGCAAGGGCATCAGAGCAGCCAGCATCATATGATATCATATTGAACAAGATATATACATAGCACAGCCAGTTATTACATAATAGGTTTTTCTTGCGTACACATGCATATTTGTTTGTGTGAGTGATTCGATCAAACAAAAAATTTCATGCGAGAGGGATGTTCAATTAGCTGGAACGTTTCCATTCATTCAAAGGAACAAAAACAAAAACAAAAGCAAAAGAAATGAATGAAGTGAAATAGGAAAATTTGTATCTATGTATGTATGTATATATGTATGTATGTAATTCTCGGCTTTTGAAATTGTTCTACTTAATGATTACACAATGATTATGTTGGAATTTCGGAGACTCTGACTCTGCCTTTAATTTTGTTACAATTTTTGAAAAATATGATGCATGCAAAATTGTTTGAATCGTTGCAGAGATGGGTGGAGAGAGAGAGAGAGAGAGAAATGGGAAAAAAGCCGGTAATGTTTACATAAACGACATGTCTTTAACATTTATTTGAAAGCAAGTCTAGCGCGACTAATTGCCAACGTTAGTAGTGTGTTGGCGGAGAATTTGAATTTTTTGTATATTATATCAATTCTTACTCTGGGTTGCAAATTATGAAACAACACTTATGTTCATCGTGGCAAGACGACGCCACCGTGCATGATTTGTTTGTTTTACACAAATTTCACGTTCACTATGTAAAAACCTTTACTACGACAAATAAATATTCATGGGAAATGGCGACAGCTGTTGTTATGTTACAATAATTTATATCTTCAAATTTGTTGACGTTTATACTATCGTTATGATTGTTGTTGTTATTGTTGCTGTTGTTCTTCGTGTTGCTCTTCTAACCATAATTTCCATGCGATATGAATTTCGCAATAATTGCAATAAATTCAAGACTTGAAAGTTTGCCATGGGAAGTTCAAGAATTTCACGTTAGTAACGCAATTGACCTTGATCACCTAACATTCCAACAATCTTTCATTCAATTAATTTATATATTGAGATCAAACTGAAAGATTAAGTGTATGTTCCCTTAAGCAAAGTAAATGGAGTTCTAGGATATATTTAAATATTGATTATGTAATAGGATAAGTTGCAGGAACAATTTAGGAAGCGATAAAAGAAAGCGATCCCCAATTCCCTATGTGGTCACATTTACATCGGCAGGTTATGTAGGTGAAAGTCAGTCCCGAAGTTCTTTTGTTTGTTTGATGTTGTAATGCAATAATGCTGTGGGAGTGGGAGTTTCTTTTTGTTTTGAAGTCACAAGTAATTGAAATTTATTATTGTTGCTAATACTTACTGCGCAATTTTTCCAACGGTTCGTGTTTGGGTGTGTGAGACGGAACTACACCATGATGAGGATGTTGACTATAACCGGTTACCAAATCTTGACCGGTGCCATGATGCAAATGACTTAAGCTGCCAATTGGCATCAGACTCGATATGGCGGGAGAGATGCTAACTGATGAACTAGTATCATGGAGACTATGATGATTGTGCAAATGATCACTGCCCCCCACCGAGGCATTACTACCGCTATTCACCGTCGAACTGCCGGTACTACCACTACTCAGGGCTGTACTCGTAGTGGTTACACTTTCCGCTGAACCGGCCGAACCGGCGCCAGCTGCTGTTCCGGCGCTGACTAAATCCTGCAGGCATAATCCAGTAGACTCTGCCGACATGGCTTCTAGGCCATTTAAAGCCCCTCCACCGCCCCCGCCATGCGTGGCCGATGTTGACACTATACCCAGACCGCCGCCAGCAGCATTACCGCCGCTGGCGCGATCCATGCCTAAGTATGTTGGAAAAATGGTGGAAAATCCTTGGGCCACAGCCTGATGCGGCTGATGATGGGGATGCAGTGTGGCTTGTTGATGATGGGGATGGAGGGGCGGCAGATGATGGTCTCTGCCGGAGAACTTCGTCGTGACGACGTCCTTGAAATGTTGCAATAATGTAGTCGTCGTGATGAGGCCGGTATCGTACACTAAGGGGTTTACAAAGTCAACAGCACCAATTGAACGAACTGGTACTTAATAACGTATACGAGTGCGTGCAAATACACAAAGGGCTGTAAATAGCAATATAGAAAAAGAAAAAAGAAACAAGAAATGATAATAAATTAGATAACGAAATCATTCATGAACGTACATAAAATCACGGTCGTATTTCTTTCTTCAGTGTTTTTTTTTTTTTTTTTCTTTTCTGTGAGATTCAAATAAAATGTCTTTGTTTTTTCTTTCCCTTATATGCATATACATATATATATCATTTTATTAAATAAATTTACTTTTGATGCAATAACAATAAGATTAACCTCGACACCGCAAAACCTAATACCAACACATCCACCATATTTCAATCTTACAAATATTTGAATTTTCTAAAGTGCCTTTAATGCCTGCCTGCATGCCTACGGCGTTGAGTAGTATGATATGTAAAAAAAGCATACTTTTATTTTAATATTCATAATAATGTTCTTGAAAATGCGAGTTTTTTTTGTTTCTTGGCTCTTCTTAGTCTCTGTCTGTACACACCACAACAAGTCTCTACAATGATATCAAAGATAAACGAGCTGAGTTTTTTTTTTTTTATTCAGATAACAGCAACCGGAGCTGAATAACGACGCATATGTTATCTACTTGTATAAGCGATTATGCGTTTGCATGTGTATGTATGTATGTGTATGAAATAGTATTTACATTTCTGTGATATTTTATGGCTCTTTTTCTCTATATAAATGCAAATACACACATGCACACATATGCGTGCATTCCGTTATTGCTTATCACAATATAAGAGAACCACTGTTCATTTAACAAAATTGTTAATAAATTTTGAAGTTCGTTTCCTTTTTGGTATTTTTCGCCAAACAATTGACATTTTATTGAATTAGCACTCAAATGGATTATATTTCTAAAAGGAATTTCATAAGAGGCTTGCATTGCGAAATTATGAAAATCATTTTTAATTCCTGACAAAGAAAACTCTTGGTTTCTGCTTAAGCTTGTGCCTAAACTCGGAGACGTTAACTGTTCAATTCACTTTCATATAAATCATCTGTAAACAATACAATCATACAAACGCACGGAAGTAACAAAAGTGGAATGTTACTGTTGCTTAATCTTAAGGAGAAGCCTATTATACTCATAGCACTATATGGGTGCCTTACGACGGCGCAAATTCTTTGGGCGACCTTTGGGCTACGTCGACATAATGCTTTTCTATCATAAACAAATGCATTTCTTCGAAACTGTAGGAATCACACGACCTAACATCGGCTTTATCACGACATAGGACTAAATAGGGCTACAAAATCGGCTTATAATCGAAATAGGGGTGCAAAGGACCAAAGCTTACAATATGACTTTTGCAAGGCTTCTCCTGTGTAAGTGTTGACTATCCATTAATTTGCGCAGAACAAAACGAGGACGGACGTTTGGTGAAAATGCAATCGATTAGTACTGTGGAGGTAGGTGTCTTTACTAGTGTAAGTTATTTTGGCAATGCTTTTTACAACGCTCGTAATAAAGTCCGCTTACATCTCTATGATCTTTTTATATTCTCGCCATATTTGTAAGGGCAATATACGAGTAGAAAACTCCAGCAACTAACGACAGCTGTCGGAATTTGATTACAGATTTATCCATTGAATCAAGACATGAACGGTTAGTATTCGCACTTAGTTCTTGTCAACCTACCGAGTGAAAGGCAGACAGAAACAAACCTACATTAAAATATAAGTTTAAATAGAAACCGAAAAATTTCAATAGAATTTCTGACATCAGTTGATACCTTGACACTGGCTGATAGCCAAGAATCATTTCAGTTGTTGGGTTAAGGAAAAATTCTGTCACAGGATCCAAGCACAAGGACGTAGATGTATTGATTGGGAGAAGTGATTGAAATAGTGTCCTGACGTATCGAAAACCCCGTCAAATATACAAATTCTTGAAAAATTTGAAATTTAGTATGCACCTAAGCATGTCCGCCTATTCGTTTGCTTATCTGTCCGTAAGCCCAATTGTGCACTATCTGTGGTGAACATTCTCCCGTTTGCAAATGTGATGAGAATTTTAATATGACCCAAACCGGTCAAAGGACACGCCTATGAAAGAAAAGCAGCGAACACCTCTGCTTTCCGGGTTTTTTGGTTGTTACTCATAAAATACAACATAAGCACATAAATCTCCTCTTTTATTCTAACAAAAAAAAAAAATAAATAAAAATAACCTGCGCCCACCCAGCAAAAATTCCCTTTTTTTTTCCTCTTTTTAGTCGGTTTAGTCGCTTACTTATTTCTCTTATGTATATATATATTTATTGTTTATTTTTGTTTTAATTGTTTTTTCTTTGCTTTTTTTTCAGCCCTCAATACCAAACTTCTTGCGGTAAGTATTTGAGAAAAGTTCCAAATTCTTAAAGCAATTTTATTTATACCCTCTTTTGGATCACATCAAAATCCCGAATTGCTCACAATACCAATTTAGGACTATTCCGGTTATTCGCACTCGCTAGTGCGACACGTTCCTATGCTATGATTTACAATAAATTGTAAAATTTCTGACTTGATCCATTTTGCCTGTCATCGTTTTACATACGAAACGGGATAATGCGCTCACTGAAGAAAGACACTTAAACCTGCTAACAACTTTATTATGATCGCACTTTATGACCATTTAATTAAAATGCATATTAAAAATTTTATTAGCAACGTTTTTATGATCGACGATGTGAGATTTTTATGCCGTTTGCGTTATGTATGTGTGTGCTTTCACAATCGAATAGTCTAATAAACGAAAATTGTCTAGGAGAGTGCAAGCATAATGCATTTATTTATGGCCTCTTAACGAAACACGAATTAAATAAAAAATAAAAAAATTAAATAAATAATTAAATAAATATTTCGTGTAGAAAAATAAATATTAATGCAAATATAAAATTTTTAAGTGTTTATGCAGATTCAAACAATAAAATTCGAATGCATTTTTGCCATCCATAAGAAAAGTGAAATGTTTTTAGTTCGACTAATGATACAATTTTGGAAAACAAACGTCGCGTCTGTCTTATGAAAAATTATGAGACCACAAATGTTGTGATCACCTTGTCATCAAGCGAGGAGGCTGTTTATAACATTAATTTATTTTATACGATTTATGTATTCATTTGCGGTCCATATACCGTTCAGTATATGTATCAGCAGATTCCAATAAATTATCGCGCAGAAATTTTGAAATATAAATGATGGAATCTAAACTCTCTTGGCTAAGATATATTTATTTATTATTATTTCTTTGTCATTTTAAAAAGAATCTTAAAAATAGCAGAAAGCTTTCGGAAAACGGAAACCCTACATGTGAAACTATATTAAAGTCGATCATATAATAAAGTTGACTTATTTAAACCTAAAGTAGTCTTCGTTATCCTCTGAAATCTTAAGCGTGCACTCGTACATATCAAAATCATACAATTTGCAGCTAATTATGCCAATAAGCCAATTAATCGTTCTGAACGGTTTTAAGGGGATGTTTTTCACCTCGGTTATATTCTCGTCGGTTGCAAAGTATTTTAACAAAGAGCATTAGACTTTCCGCTAATCAAGTTAATAGAAGGGAGCGCAAGATTTTTAGCTTTTTTCATTATCGAATTACACCACTTCAACCAAGATCGTTCGGAGGAAGGGTCCGTACAATTGCAGTAAGTAGTTAACCGAAGTTAAAAAGCTTGTGCTAAAGACGAGCTTTAGTTTTTGCTCTTAATCCGTTGCTTCATTTTGGCACCCGTAAGATTAAAATAAAGAGAAAAAACTAAAAAGACGCTTTACTATCGAAACCATTGCAAAATCTTGAGCTCTTATTCCGTATCAAGCAATCTCTTTAACTTAACTTATCTACAAAATCAAAAGCTCAAGTTGAATGCAAAACTTCATTAGCAGTGATATCAGTGAATTCACTTCGACATCTCATCTACATTTCTTATGCCACATTTAAAACATGTGAAGCGACATAGCGAATATGTTAAATTAGTCTGAGATATGCTACCTAAAATCTGCTCCTTGCGGATAAGTTGAAGAAGTCAAACTCTATGTGCTATCAGTCGCGATAATCTATAATCCGCAATTTGTTGGCCGATAAGGGTTAATAGTTATGGGACATAAAATGCTAAGCAAATATATCTCTTGGGTAGATTCACTTTAGTAAGAAAAGTTGTGAATAATGAGACGCAATTCTAATAAGATTTTCATATCTCTTACCGACCATGCTGACTAAAAGAGAAAGAAAGAGAGAGAGAGCGAAAGAGTGAGTGAACTCTATGCAGGTAATTAATATTTTCACCTAATAAGTTAATAATAACAACTGCGGCGTACGAAAAGAAGAATTCTAAGCTAAGAAAGTTTATTCGAAAAAGCGTATACAATACCTATCGTATAATTACGTATATAAACATCGTGTTAGAAATAGAGTTAAGCTAAGCAGATTCATAGGTGCAATATATTCATGTTTCTTTATACCCGTATTCGATATATGCATGAACATATACATATATGGCCACGAATATATTCCAGAAAGATCGGCTTTGAAAGCGCTTAGTTTAACTTCAATTACAACACGATTTCTTGAAATCAAAACGTGGTTGGAGGCAGCCGCCCATTATCTTTGTTATAACGATTTTAAAAGTTCTAATAGCAAAACGATCAAACAACACAAGGATTGCAAGGGTAAACGGAAAACTTCTCCCTAGTTGAGCCTCAAAAATGCTGAGCTTTATTGCCAAAAAAATTACTTTACCCTAGATCGCTTTCTACGTTTTTTGAAAGTTCACTATGATTGTGGGCCAACCTAATCTTTAAATTTATTAATTAATAGACTTTCCGCTGATTACTTACTTACCGGATTAACATTTATTGACTTCTGTATCTGATTCTGTCAATGTATACGACATCATAAATATGGACTGATATTGATGTTTGATTGATAAACTTTCCAAATTCATTGCCAACCTTAAGTATCTGCGCAATTTGCTTTGATTGCATTCAGCTAGCTATGCACTGTCTTTAAGCGGGTAGACGAGTGCAAATTTCTTTAATAAATGCTTGCAAAGTTTTATTATCCGCAAAAAATTTGTCCCTTGAATATTTCGGAATTTCCTCGCAAATTCAAAAATATCTTGAACAAGAGACTGGCATTGCTGAGCGCAATTTTAATGACAATATGACTTTTGTTTTAAAACCTCTTAGGTTTTAAAGATAGGATAAAGGATATTGGTACCCAATCGGGCAATATTTGCATTGAAGCCGACGCGAACCGATTCAAAAAAGTTGAGCAGGCTTTTGACACGTGCCGGAAAAAGGGCAGGTTGTAGCATAAAATCTCCAAGAAGAGAGAAAGAGACGGAATATTTGAATTTGGAAGGTCAGTTTTATCGTCCCTGAGTTGCCGAGTAATAGAGAAAAATAATAACAAATTTATTATGATAAACGGTTTCTATAGCATATTCTAAAATCCTAAGAGAGCAGCACAGCTAAAACAAGCCTCTCATTTCTTTCATTTGAATTTGTTACTATATCTTCAAAACAACATTTTCCGTAGGATGTTTTCGATAAGTAAATTTAAAGATTTTTTATTAATAAAAGAATGATATTTTTTTTTTTTTTTTTTTGATCGGAAATTGCACTCTTTCACTCCAACAGTCGTCAACGATTTTGTTTTTGAGCTAAAGAAGTCTGCAGAGAATAGCTGCGGCGCCGTCATGTCCAAAATAATTCGCTTATATGATACTTAAAGGTAAGCTTAACATTCTTCTCAAATGTTATTATTCTAATACCGTCCTCTATTCAAAAAAAAAAAGAATTTTGCATTTACGCTATTACTGTTCTCTACATCTTTAAGTATCTCTTGGTTAAGCAGATCAAGACTAGAATTCATTTAAAAAAAACATCGAAATTGAATATATTTGTAATGGAGCCTTGCTTTCTGCCTAATCTGCATCACATCATCACACACTATATAATAAATTTGATATTTCATAAGATCTTCATTCCAATTGGCTCCCGTCGCTTTTCTTTGAATATGAGTAAATACGCAAAGTGACTTTTTTTACGAGATTTCTCCTAAAAAAATAAAAATAATTCCTATACAAGCCCAGTCGAAAACACCTTCTAACACTTTGCTGAGCTAAGCAAGCTCGATGCCGATTTTAACGGAGCTTCTACACAGCAATGATCTCGTGATAACACCTCTACTATGCGTAGCAGTTATTAGTAAGTTCTACTTATGTGTTTCTCGGGAGTTTTTCAAATTCTCTAAAGTCATTCTCAAATTCTGTAGATTCTTACAGGATGTGATTTGTCACCTCATGTGGAAACTGCAAAGTTAAATGTGTTCGCGTTCAAGTTTTCAAGAAAGCCATCTAAAGAAGACTGCAAAGGGGATCAATTTTTTTGAAATTGTCACTTAAGAAAATATATAGGAGCAAGGATCTATACAAGTCTATTATCTATCAATTTTTAGCATTATACCGCTGGGTCGATCCAGTATTGCGTTTCTTCTTGTCTGTTGCTATCTTCTTGTTATGCGTTTCAGTTTCAGATTGAACATATATATGTATTTTTATTTTTTGATCTTTTTCAAAATCTCATTCTATTAATGCCTCACCTTTCTGTGCTACTTTTTTATATGAACTTTAATCCACTTCAGTACGGCAAAATGCGTCGAGTTTTATTGTATACACATTAGAAATTTAATTTTTTTTTTATTGTTTCAAATTGTTGTGTTAAGGACTTTTTTTTTTAAAAAAAATAACCGTCGGTCACGTATTACAGCAATAAATCACTGCCGGAGATTTCTTAATCACATAACCGAGAGACTTTTGTTTTTATTTTTCCGTTGCTCTTCCTATTGTTGTTGTTTTCGTTGCTGTTGATCAAATGCATTCAGTTTAATACAAATTAGGTTAATGTCAACTATTTAAACTTTTTAATGAAATCTATTTTATTTTTTTTTATTTTTATTTCTTTTTTTTGGTTATAATTTTGTTTTTTATATATATATATATATATATATATATATATTTATATATTTCTTTAGTGTGCGCGGACAAACGAGAATCTATTTTAATCACACTCTGACAAAACAAATCGCTATTGATATTAGTATTTAAATGGGATTATATAGGATTTGGTGCATTATTTAATTTTCCCTTTTTTTTTTTCAATGATTTAGTGATTTAATGTGATTTCACTTTTACGTGTTTTTCCTTTTTTTTTTTTTTTGCTTCTTCGTTTTCAAATGTTTACACTTTTATTTGTTATATATTGCATAACAGTTTATATGCATGTGTATGCGTGCATATATTTTTACCCATTTGCGTACACATGTAGCGGTTTTATAATATTTGTTTGTTGTTGCTGCGATTTGAATTAAAATCCGCGACGGCTTTAAAAGGTTTAATGAATTAATCCGATGGATAATTAGACGTATACTACCAATGGTTATCAGAAGAGAGTGTGACTGCTTTGCTCGTACAGTGAATGATATGACGGTAAATAATCAACTGTTGAAGATTGACTGGCAATTGGAGGTTAAACGAGCGATATTTCTGTAACGAAATGATTGAGTTTGGCGCGCGCGAACACGGCTATGGTGGGTAAACAAATTTTATACAACGACAACGCTAGACGAGTATCGGTAGACGAATGCCAATAAAGTAGCAGCGGAAAGCGGATACGTATCTCGTATAAAGAGCAATGATGACTTCAAAGTTGCTTACTATTAACAACGAGTTGAAGTCAGCCATTTAAAGTGAAATTAGGGCGTTTATGGCTCTATACCATCCTTTCGCTCTTCACACGTCGTTCTCTCTTACACTAACACAAACGAAACGAAACGATATGAGTTCAAAAGCACTTTATATTATAGCACAACGCAAAGAGGTCACTTGGAAGTTTAGAATGGAAATATTTACAGATATATAGATTTTCTTTACCATCTACACTCGTATTTGATATACGTACTACGTATTATTCTGTAGATATACGCCGTATCTATAGAATCATAGAAAGCATTTATTGTATAAGCAAACGCAACGAATACAACGAGAGTTACATGTTAACGTAACAAAAATCACAACTAAACGGAGAAATGAGATTTTTCCTTCGAGATACCGGAATATTAAAGCACAAAAATACGTACACGCACATATATATATAAATATGTATACATTTATATATATTGTGTGTGCATACATATTTCTTTGTATTCTTTCTCTTTTTTCTCTCTCTCTAGCTCCCAATGCGAGCATATATCATTTTCCCCTACTGATAAGAAAAATAATTTCCAAAATATATTTCTGATAAGAATGAAGAGTAAATAAGATATATAGAGAATACCCAAAAAGTAACGAGTTTTTCTATTATACATGGTAGAGGAAAAGAGAAAGATTTCATTTTATATATATATATATATATATGCTTTTATAAACAACTGTAAACAACACTCGTTTAGAGATTTTTACACAATCTCTCTCTCTCTCCGGGGAAATGAAGCATAAAGCAGCCACACACATCAAGTACAACCCTAAAAATATACGTGCTTAGCTTTAGCGGCAAAGGAGAGAAAAGCTACACAAATTCTTTGCTTCTGCTGTTATCTCTGTTCTATTTGTATAAAACAGGTTATACGTGAGCATGATTGAGAGTGCATGCATATGAATACATATGTATGCATGTATATACATACACACATATATATATATATATATATATATATGTTTATAATGTATATTCTTACGTATATACTTCAATTCGGCCATTCTTGTATTAAGAAAATTTTTGCTTACAGTGAACAACATTTATTATATCTTGTTTTCTTGTTGTTTTAAAGAAAATATCACGTTTTTATTTTAGTACAAATATATATTACACATATATATATATATATATATATATATATATATATATATATTTTAAATTCATAAAAATTGTTTCTTTCATTATGTCTGCGTACAAATATTTGTGCGTATGCATTACAAGGGGCAAGAAAAAAGGGTTGTTCATGCATTAGATATTTGCTTCGTGTCTCTGACTTTGTTTGCAATTGTGTGCACGCAATAATTGTGAGTGCTTTCGTGTGTTCGCTATGTATGTATAAATTTGTGTGACTTTAATCTCTTTTGGCATTTTGGTTGCTATTTTACTGGGTGTCAAGGGCGTTTTGTTATCCCATTATTGTTATTATTATTATTACTGTTGTTGCTGCTACCGCTGCTGCTTCCATTGTTCCCTTATATTGTGTCCTCTATTGTTGTTGCATATACATTCATCTACATAACTATGGCTATAATATGTGCACACACGCACACGCATACGCACACGCAAAGGCAGCTAACTAACTATCTATAAAATGCACATAAATACATATATAAACATATGGGCTTTATTTGTGTATTTTATGTACTCTACACTCTATACATTTATTGTGGAAAAAAATTTTTATTGCTGTTGGTAGAGCTGGTACTCCGATGCTGACGATAATAATGATGATGATGATGATGATGGTGCTGCTGCCACACTGCTGCTGGTTTATCGTCATCATCATTATCTTGAGGCGTTTTTCATTTGTCTTTTCTGTTTAACAAAACAAATGTTATTCTATTTCATCCCTCCTCGCGCAACCCCGCAGTCACCAAGTCTACTTATACTCTATTCGTTTATCGTATTGTTTGTGCTTGAATGCGCACCAATAAATAAATAACTTTTTATTTTTGATATTCATTTTTTTTCCTTTTTTTTTCTTTTTGTTGGTTTTCTTTTATAGATAAACTGTAAATACATGCATATACGTATATATATATCATTTATTTTCCTCCCTACTTTCCGACCATCAGTTGAAGTCACCCTCCCACCGTTTACATTTAACGAATTCTTTGCATTATATTGTTGTTCTTATGTACGATGCTGTCTGTCTGTCTGTCTGTCTGTCTGTCTGTCCCTCCGTCTGTCTGTTTGTTTGCAAAAATAAAATTTATTAAAATTCACAACATCACTTGATGGAGTTCATATTTCTTTTGTTTTACTGGTTTCTCTTTCCGTTTTTATTGCTTTCAAGTCGAAGACATTTATACGTGTGTGTGTGTGTGTGTAATGATGGTTGCATATTTTCCAGTTGAAAGTGGATTTTCTTTTCTTAAATAACACATTTTTTTTTTATCTTCTCGATATTGCTTCATATCAAATAATTTTATTACTTTAAATTTTTAAAATGTTTTCCAACAAAATTCATTCTCTGCTTTAGTAAAAAGAATTTTTTTTTTTCTCTAAATCATAATTTAATGAGTAGCTTTTAATTTTCTATGTTACCCGGATTAAGGAGAGCAAAAAAAAAAGAACGACAACTTATGTAAAAATCATAGATTGATTGATTCAATTGAATGATGTAAGAACGTTTCCCTTATTTCACCAATACTCTGAAGGAGCATGAAGCTACTCGTGAGCCGGCTTATGATACTCCGTATCGCGCTAACTTCCGAGATGAAATATAAAAATGATTCGATCGTTTTATATGAAATATAAACTTTTACATTCGATATTCGGAAAAATTCATACGCCATCGACCACCATCAACTCCCTACTGGTTAATAGTGGCTTGATAAGAAGGCTTATCAAGCCAAATTTGAAAATTACGTTCAGTTAGTTCGAAAAAGGGATCCGTATCCCACTCCTGGTTTTATATTCATTAGGTTTAAAATCTTCTAATAGCTAGTGAAGGAAATTTTTTTATAGAGCTTAACTCTTATATACTATAGTCACTAATCATGTTTTCAAAAATTCCGCAAAATATTTAAGGAGAGTGGGGAAGAAGGACTGTATTTAGGCGCCCTTTCATTTTGTTTCCCGTTCTTTCCCTTTCTAATATTAAACGCATGACTCAACTTGTTTTGTGTGTTTATTCAGAATAATATTTGGATCTCATTACACAGGAGATAGGGTATATATCTTATACGTGTGGGCATAGTGGTGACCAGAAGAGAGATAAGGAGAAACTGTGGAGGAAAACAGTTGGCCGACACTGCTGATAGGTTGTGCGAAAGAAGGCCAATGCCGGCATCATCTTTGACAAATACGTTTTTCGTATGTCAAGTGCAAGTTATTGATGGATACATTTTAAAGTTCTCCTATTGTTTTAAAGTTATTCTTGCGTCTAAGATGTTCTCGCTCTTTCTAAGATCAAATCTTTAGAAAGAAAAGCGACCGTTATCTCATGTAGGCCAAGTAAGCCACACTCAGTGAGTATTTCTGCTCGTTAAAGGCATAAAGATTTTTTTAAGTACTATGAGCTTCGACTCCCTCTCTGCCACTTCTCATACTGTCTCTCACTCCCACTCTGCCACTTCTCATACTGTCTCTCACTCCCACTCTGCCACTTCTCATACTGTCTCTCACTCTCTCTCTCTCTCTCTCCTTTGATTATTGGTTCCTAAGAGAAAGATAAACGGACCCAAATAAGTTATGCTTAATATCTAAAACATGTTTGCTTTGGCATCGAACGTCCTATTTATCTAAACGTATGTATATGTTTTGCAAATTGACAAAGCAATCAAGATTTATTTTGCTTGGGATTTCAGATAGCTTTCAAATGGCAATAGGTCTCATATTCGCTGAAATTCGTAGAAACCATTTTCCAACACGATTTATGGCCTTTAACAGATAATTTAGGAGTGGTGGTGTACGATCTCCCCAATGAAAACTAATTGCAGATTTATAAGTGATTTTAGTTATTCCTCTGGAGGATGAATTTTCTTTCAAAAGTCGATTTTATTTCTAAAAGCAAGTATCAGCGAAATGGAAAACTTTATTTGAATTCCAACCGTGCAATAAAATTGCACAACAACCCAATTACGAGAGTAAAATAACAAGACAACATTAAACTCACAACGTTTCCTATTGCTCCGGCACATTTTAACGTGTTTAGCGTATGTGAGCGCGAGGACCTTCATGTACACGTATACCGATGCATATACACAGCCACGTTTGTGTCCAA